TAGAGTATTAGTAATGTAAGCGAGATTAGCGGCAACCACGCTGGCGATGCTAGCAGGCTATATGCTAATAGCGGACAAAAATAGAACTAGTGATAACAAGGCGCTCTGATTGTTTTTGTTGTAGAATACGATAGGGGATATATTCACACGTTATAGAAACGAAAATTATGGTGTATAAAATTGATTTTAAGATAAAAAATTAGACGACAAAATTAACTTGACGGAGCTCAAACTCAAAACACACGGCAGCAACCTGGTGAACAATAATGGAGAGTAGGCTAGCTAAATAGATAGATCTCACACGTCTATACATAAAGCTGTAACAGCTGAATTCGCTTACAGCAACTTTAATTTACTACTAATTTGATTTTGTTGTTGTTTTGTCATGTCTTTAGTACAAAGTGTCATCTGTGTCCTGTAGAGGGCGCATATGTCCAGTCGATGGGCGGAGAGAAGCGAGTGACGCACTTCCTGTCTCTTTTAAACCCCAGTAGCGAAGCTTTCCCCCCTTTTACTTTCTCCAAGAAGAAGCAGAGGCAGTTGGAGCAGTCGACACCCAACTCTTATTATATCACTGACAGAGTTACAGTCCGCTACCATGACTTACCAAGAATGCATATCAGGTAATCTGACCTGTAACAAGAGTCTTAAATGCATGTATATTTTGAGTTGTTCTGCAGGTTTGGCGGTCCATACTGTGCAGGCTGCTGAACACGTGCTCTCCACCATGTCTTGAAGATTATGGAGTATCATAAACAACTTGTTAATATGTTTATTATATATGATAGTTTAAATTACAGACACCGTTAAGCTGAAATATCTGATCTCGGACAAATAGGCTATTTTTATCCCCCTGATGCAGTTCAGCTTAAGCTGGAGTTATACGTGCTATATGTCTCTGTTTTCATAGGTCAGCATGCATTTTATCATCAATGTGTTTACCTGGGCCAAGGGAGAGCTTTTCTAGATCAGATTGTGGTGCTAGGTTTAAAAAAACAAACAAAAAAAAAGAGTTATTGTAATGCATTATAACCTATTCTTTGCAACTTAACATGAGCATACACGCTTTCAAAATGTGTAAAGCATTATTTATTATAATTAATATTGTTGGTGCACAGTTATCTGTAACGGTTCTAATGCTGATAAGTTTTTTGCTGCTTAATATTTTTGTGGAAATCATATTTTTTCTGCATTCTTTGAATAGAAAGTTCAAAAGAACATCATTTATTTAAAATATAAATATTTCATGATTATATAATCGTCTTAACAGTCACTTCTGATCAGTTAAAATACATTTTCAATTACATTTTGTCTGTATAATTCAAATTATAACTATTTATATAATAAGCCTAATGCACTTGGCTTGCAGTCGTGCAAGTTGTAGTTTTGTCATCTGAAAACAACTTCACAGGTTTAAATCTTCTATGAATTGTTTAATGTATCGTTAAATAACTTAATTGATCCTTACTAAAAAAAACGTGACTTCACATTTATATGGAAGTCCGTTTCCGCCACTGAATAAAAAATAAAAAAAGGGAATAGTGACTTTTTATCTCACAATTGAGATACAAACTCACAATTCTGACTTTTTTTTTTCTCAGAATTGCACGTTTCTCACAATTCTGAGAAGAAAAAAAAAGGAAGAATTGTGAGAACGTTGCAATAACTTCCCCGCTGCGGTGCACGCTACATCAGCAATTCAGTTTTTAGAGTGCTTCCTGAGTTTGAGGAATATTTGATTAATTTCCTTAGCAATCTTCTGGGATATGCATGTTTGTCCCCTAACACCAGCATAGCAAAAGGGAGTAAGTCTGCAGTATATAACGACTCTTATTCGAAGTAAATAATGCTGAAAAACTAGGCATAATAGATTTTATTTTGTTTACTTTTTACTATTGTAAAGTTCAGCTTTCAGGAGCACATAATGCATCTTGATGCAGCAAATGTGTTATGATCTACTCTTTTTGCCATCAAACCAACAAGCCTAGAAAGTGAGTTCGATTCATGCAATTTTACGATAGGCCTACACAAGTTTTACCATGACACAATGATTTTGAAAATATAAATGACATGAATCATAAAATATTGATAATTAAGGCAATAAATAAAGGCAATTTGCTGTTTTTAAAATTACACATTTTGACACACAAGTTATTTCATCTAAATATGTTAATAAGTTAATAGGTTTTTTAAAATCTGGACATTTTGCTCACCAAGGCTGCATTTATTTGATCAAAAATAAGTAAACAGTATTGTGAAATATTATTACAGTCTAAAAAATTTTTTTTTTTTTTTTTGTATTATTATTATTTAGTGGCGGAAACGGGCTTCCATACCCTTATGTTAATTTTATAAAAGATTATAGGAAATGACTGATTGGTTGACTGGAGTAGTGAAATGACTAATTGACACTCCCCTCTTTCTCACTAGACGGGCTGCAGGACACAGGATAAGGGCCGCTCGCTCTCACTGGGGTCCGTGCATCAGCTGAGAGCATGAGGGAAGGTGCCCATTAAATGAAAATGCATTTAACATGTAGGAGGCGGCTGTTACCTGTCCATCAGGTACTGCATTAGCATACGAGTGAGTGCTCACTGTCAAGAGCCCTTCTGCCTCGTGAATATGCATTATAACTGATATTATGACTGTATGGCTTATATAATGGTAAATGAGCTTTATTCTGTTTTGTTTTTTTTCCCCTTAGGTTTGCAGCATAAAGCCAATATGAAATGAAAATTTGAATGGCATGCAAAGAAAATAAGAATGCAAAGGATTGTAAGGTACAACACTTCAAACAGTCTTAAATGCACCTTTAGTGCAAATGGTTTAGCAACAGACTAAAGTGAACGTCAAGACGTTAACGCAGTAAAGATGTGCAATGATGACTACAAATCGCTGAGGTCACGACCAGTGAAGCTACATAATAGCATGTATTAGCTGAGCACATGTTGTCTGTGCTGGTTTGTGTGCTTTAAGGCCGGAGGGCTCTATTTTTGACTCCTTTTCTCTTGCCAGTGTTTCCACAGGCAAAACTATAAATCCAGATGGCATGCTGGATCAACCCGAGCTGATGGAAAAATAACAGTGGAGGGCCGAAAAGACTGAAAAAAAAAAATGTATGAAGGTGGCGATAGAATAAGAATTTCACACCTACAGTACCTACCACACATGGCTTTCACACATCGGCTAGGGCTTGGAGAGAAAGCCCAGATGAACACAAATGTAAATGTACCATTTTAGTATTCATGACATTAGGTAATGTTATTGTCTTATGCTTTTCACTGTAATATCTGTATCTTCCGGTTTCATAATAAACATTCAACAATGCATCCAAACAAAGAATACTGCATTTGAGTTTTTTTCATGCTTGCTGTATGTAACGAAATTGTACCAAAAAATTTAACGAAAAAATAAATTACTTTGCCTGTATTTTAATAACTGTAGCTCATTGTTTAATGCTTGTAGGAAAATGAATTTATGAACTTAATTTATATGCTACTGTTAAGTAAAAAAAATACTTTTATATGCTCGGACATCTCATCAAAAGTGACAGCAAAAACGTTTTACTATTATTTTCCATTTCAATTAAATGGTTCTTCTGAACTTTATATTAAGTAAATTCCTGGGGGGGGGGATCAACTTCTTGTATTTCAAAAATATTGACTGGTTTTCAACACTGATAATAAGCAATATTTCTTCAGCAGATCAGCATATTAAAATGATTTTTGAAGGATCGTGTTACACTGAAGACTGGAGTAATGATCCTGAAAATTCAGCTTTACATTACAGGAATAAATAAATATAATTTAAAATATTCTTTTATGTGCTTTTGACCTGTTATAAATGCATTTAATAATTTTATTATATGTAACTTAATATTAATCTATGTATTGGGGGTGGTGAAAAAGATATTTTTATAATAGCAGAGGAAACAGCTCCGCAGATAAGGTGGGCGGCACCTATCCAGAACAAAAATAATATTTTGCTTTTAAAAATTTTTCTTTTTATATCACCACACCAACCCCTAAATAAAAATAATGATAATAATTCATTACATTTATATAGCGCTTTTCTAGGCACTCAGTGCTTTACATTGTCAGGGGTATCTCCTCATCCACCACCAGTATTTCTACAAATAAAAAAAGTGTTTATACATTATGAAGGTATTTATTGTGTTGCCTTCATGCAAATTTAAACTGAAAAACAAACTACAGTGATGAGTAAACACTAGAGAACAATATTAAATACAGAAGCACTAAAAGGCATTACAGTAGTGAATTTTGGGAGAAATTGTGATTATGTAACAATCCAGGAATCCTTGTTGGTCCAAAAAAATGCAAATTTTGTTTTAATTTAGTTTTGTGGTAAAGTGTGACCAGCAAGTGATCTTAAGCAATTTACTCTTGCATGTGATTATTCCTGCCCAGCAGGACAGATGTGTTTATATGCACTAACTGTTACTGACGAGAGTTATGAAACTGTTCAACTAATAGTAAGTCCAAAGGGTGACTGCGTTTTCATTAATGTTATTAATGTGCTTCTGTAACCATAAACACAAGTGCTCAACTCAGAAGGCTGTAAGAGTCATATGCAAATTACAGTATTCATTTCATAATGCTCTTAGAGAAACGCGAGTTATGTAACCCAAGAAAAAAAAAGTTTATTTTGATTTCTTTTATACTGACATTCGTTCCACCTAGGAGTGAACAAAGTCCAAAGCAAATCTGGCACAAAAACAAACAACAGTTACATGAAAGCAAAACCAACCCAGGCTTATGTAAACCAGATTACTCTATTTTTTCCTCCTCATCCTCCTGTCCTTCCTCATAGTGGCGATACTCTGGCTTCAGCTCCCAGGTGCTCTTATGAGGCCCTCGGGAATTATACACTCCGATCTCCCTAAGAATCTCCTTCAGGTAAATCTAGAGGAAGAGCAGATCGACAGGGTGAACACATGCTGCCAAGATATGATCATACATCATCCAACTCTTAACAACTTTGTGAAAAGTGCTAAATTCTTTATTTAGCCTCACTTAGTGTAATCTATGCACTAAATGGCAAGACTACTGTGGGAAGTAACAATTATCTTACTCCGTTCTGTTTAGTTTATTTTCAGTTATGACTCATGTAACTTCAATCACATTTATATTTCTCCAATCCTTCAGGGAGACTGAGGCAGCAGTCAAGTGGCAATTATTCATAGGATCATCAAGAGCTCACTTAACTATGAAAATATAATCAACACCAAACCCATGCAGAATATTTGCGATTTCTTGTAACTTGGTTTAATCTCTCTCATGTATAACTTCTAATAAAACAACTGAAAAGATTTATTCAAAATTGCCATTAACAGAGCAAACATCAGTTTTGATGAACCCTTGCGTAAAAGGCTGCACTTGAAGTTATTTTTTTTTTCTAAATTGCAACCTCATCATTCAAATGTGTAATTAAATATATATTTAAATACATGACAAAGTTTCAAAATAGATGACATTAAAATATATTTTAGTTTAATATAATAGCACGCCAATACACTGTATTTTAAAGTGGGTCAAATAAAGCACCCTGAAGTTCAGCTAATTGCATTTAAAGGGGTCATATGATGCTTTTTTTAAAGATCATTATTTTGTGTATTTGGTGTAACAGAATATGTTG